AAGTTACAAATTAATTGCGTTGTAGGTTTCTGCCTTTCCAGGCGTGTTAAATATTCTATTTTCTCTGACTGGTAGCAGGGCTGACTAGTACCATGGAGACTGTGGTCCACACACAGCGACCCCCCCTCTTCTTAACAGGGCTTGATCTGACCCCCCCCCCCATTTTTCTGAATCTGCATGCGAAGATATAAACAGTTATGTATGTGTTCGCGAATTCCCAGTTTGGCGTCATAGTTTCCACGTAGGCATTTCAATGTGGCACTATTTTATTGTTATTTACTTTGTAATGATTGTGAGCAGTACGAAACGCAAGCATGGTACCAAAATTTCAAGGCCGCGGGGGGCATCTTCCGATCGTCTATTCAGAAATTCAAGTATAAATAACCCAAATGCGCTCATAATTGCTGCGATTATACAATGCCTCCAGAAAGGACCAGTAACTACTGAGCTGTTTCACTTTCTCATAGTTTTCTTGAGGTAGTAGCATAAAAACTGCATTCCTCCTAGCAACATCCTGTCATTATTCCAATTAAAGCTCCGAGAGATGACGTTTTTTTAATTGCTATGTGTCTTCCTGAGAATTTTTCTTATTTCACTTTTGAACTTGAAGCAAGGCGATCCTGAGCCGTTTAATTTCACTGAGAGGGACTTGAGGGAGGGGGGGGGCGGATTGTCCAGGAAGGAAAAGAAGTGCGGGTCCAGCAAGACCTATCAGATTCCCTGATAGAATGAGGATCACGATAATGTTGCTCCCTCTTTTCTTTCTGGGAACTTCTGTGATGAGAATTTCGAGCGAAAACCCGGCAAAGCCAACTTCGAAGTACTTAGTCGTATTTCCTTCGGAAAAGTAACTTTTAATGAATACCTCATAGGGAATTGCATAAGTTGTCGAAAGTTTCAATGAGTTCCTCACAAGAGTGAAACAAGATTTTAACATTTTGCAGCCGTCGGTGTTTGCGCGTCAGCCTACACGTTGGCCGTGATTGCGGTAGAAAGATATTATGCGATCTGTCGTCCACTACAGTCCCGTAAATGGAGAACAAAGGTGAGGTCGTATTTCAGACTTTTAGTCGGAGTGCTAACCACAAGCACACGCAATGCTGCCGCAACGCAGTCGCAATCTCAAGACAGCGGCGTTAACGTAGCTCAGGCCGCGTTCATACCTGGCAATCTTCGGTAGCACGAACGCGAGGCGGTCAAGACAATCGTAATTTGCCGGCGCGTCTCGCGCGACGGACTCACCGTTTTAATATGCATGTCTATTGGAGCAACGGGTTTCAGAGACTACGACATCATGGACATTTGTCACTACTTTTTGCTTTAGCATTGCGTATTGTCCCATCTACAACCTAGTAACAACAGGCGCGACGTCGCACGCGACACCCACCATTGCGGACATACCGATTGTTCTAATACACCTAACGCCGTCAGTGGGCTTCCGCAAGGGCATCTGGGATTTAGAACTTCTGATTTTCATTTTTTTCTTGTTTTTCCATGCACTTATTCATACGTTTTTCCCCTGAGAGACAATTTTTGGCTGTCTCGACTTTTCTATGAGGCATATTTGATGATAATAATTGGTGCGAACTTGAGTATATCGCAGCTCGTGCTATTGACATGAAATCCTATCCAGTAGATGTCTTCCTGCGCTTCTCGTTTTCAGTTACTTACAGTATGTTAACACGAAATAGAAATAGAAGTACAAATGAGCAGACACCTATTATTTATGAAGTAAACAGAGTAGCCGTTGCAGAAGTTCATCAGCTGGCGGAATTATGAGCGCACTCTCAGTTTTAGTGGAGGGAAAGGTGTGTAGGGTAAGCATCACCAAGTCAAAATCCGCATTCAGGCGCTCTAGACGTAGACGACAAGAGTTGGCGAGGGGTAGTCTGGCAGGCTGGCAACATGAAAAGAAAAATATTAGAAAAACTGAAAATCCGCACAATATGTACGTGCCGCTTCTAAGCATGTCTGATTTGCTAGCCACAGTATTCCAGACTACAGTACACCACGATGATTTTATTCGTTACAGAAACGTGCTTTATTCACGATTTCCTTCGTATGGGTATTCTCATTCGTCTGCAATATCGGCTCGTTGTTCATCTTTGATTCCGTACCATACCGTAATCAATGGACTTGTGACACCACAAAAGGACCGCTTACCGACTTCTTCTACCAGCTTTACGTGACACTGGTCGTACCTTCAGATTTTTTAAGCATAGAAAAATAAGCCTACTAAGTATAGCGGAGCATATGCAGTTCTCTTGTCGTATGAATTTTACTTTGATTTTAGCACTCTTATTTTTAGGTTTTACTGTTCATTCCCCTATGTGCGATGGTCAGCCTTTATGGACATGTAATTTATACTCTCTCAACGGTCATTGTGACCGACGATAATCCCGTCGTTCAGCAGTCAATCATGCAAGGTAGGCGTCATAAAATATCTTTCCACTACAGCTTTTTTCAAGCAGTACTTGTATAGTCCCTTAAGAAGGCCTCAAGGCTGTTAACCTCATTTGAAGCTGAAAAAGATGAAAAAGATAAAGCTCTTGTTAATTTAATCAGCCCCTTTCCGGGATGCAGCACGCATTCTACTTCTACTGGGAATAGTAGTAACGCTCTAATGCAATATGTCCTCAACAACGAGTTGAGGGAGGGGGAGAGGGGGGGGCAGCTGATGTACAAGTCAGTATTTTTATCCTCCTATATGATTCAGGTTCCAATTCACTGACTTCGGAGATTGTGAGGCTTCCTTGGCGCCAGGCAGTCCTGGATTTGAACCTCACATAGGGTGCTACTTTATACTAACTACCTTCGCCCTCATAACTTTTTATACATTACATTTTAAATCCTTACTCAGCTGTCTCTCCCGTTTCGCGAGCAATTCGAAGTCGTGACGCATTCTAAATGAGTTGGAAGACATCAGGCTATTCATACTATTGTCCATTCTACCATGGTTTCTCCAACTGGGCTGGGGATATTTAGTGGAAAATATTTGCCTTCATCTTTCACGCGGAGAAGAAGTAATTGGCTCGTTAAGCGGAGGTCTCCAGCAGGTCTGTAGCGACACCCGCTACAGGTAGAAGGGCAATCGCTGATATTTTAGCTTCCCTTCATGTAATAATTTCAACTGGTTAGACGTAGCTGCCCGCAGGCTGATTCTGCTTCAAATCGTGTCCCTTGTCGTTCCTCTGAAGCCGTGAGATACTGAAATATCTACGCAAAATCGCGTATCAAGGGCATCGTATGTACAGGGGGGGGGGCAAAAAAAGTCACTTTGCTTCATTGACTTTCGAGGCGCTATAAGTTACACTTTATAAATTCTGATCGGACATTTCTACCACCATATTAAAGAGCATATTAAATACTATTATGACACTCCGCCACAGCCTTCTGGAGGAGCGCCATCGAGAGATTCTGGCACGCAACCGCGATGTGGTCCCTGAGATCAGCGAGATGGTCGATTTCTCCGCCACCGTAGACCACCCTATTGAACTCCGCTCGAACCGGGTAATTGAGGGGATTCAGGTCAGGTGACCTACTTAGATATTCCATCTTCTTTAGGTACTCAGCCCCCTTCCATTCCAGGTAGGCGAGAGTTTCTCCAACGCCCTTCGATTCCACGTGGTGGCACCCAATGCTGTAGCAGTACAAAGTTTCCAAGAAGGTACGGGCGACGACATGTGGAGAAGATATTCTTCTTGAGTTGGTCGATGTAACCGCCAGCGCTCAGCTTCAGCCCGGGGTCCACGAAGAAAATATTGGTCTTTCCATTCCAGGTGCGTCCGGTCCATACCATCCCGCGCCTTGGCGACTGCCGTGAAGATGATATCCCGGACCGTAGCGACGTTGCCGTAGCTGGCTCGATGTGGGAGGTCTTGCAGATCAAGAGTACTGACCTCCAGGTAGCTATCTGTGGATGACTTCATTCAAGAAGTTTCGCAGCTGTTTGGAGGCGACGTGAATTCCAAAGGTGTTCTCCAGTCAGGCCGCGACTGGAGATGACTTCATATTTTGGCGTACATGAAGGCGATTGGCGGCAGCCTGCTCCAGCTTATAGAGGAAGATCTTGGGTATCTTCCACTCTGGTACTCATATCCACTTCCCCTGTCTGGGCTGCGAAAACTTCGTTGATATGTGGCTCGGCCGAAATGACTTTTTTTTGCCCCCCCCCCCTGTATAGTGTCCATGCCCCGTCCCTTTGCCTTAAAAAATAAGAATTTCTGGCTGGCGCTGTGTCGACGGTGGAGGGGGGGAGGGCATTTTGCACTTTAAGGACTTACCATCGACGTGTCGACCCATCTAGACAGCCTCTTCTCGGGTTGACAGGTTCACCATGATAGCTTGACGAGCTTGCTCTGGCCTTCAAGAGACGTGTCACTAGGTTCCCACCACACTTGTAAACTAGAACTAGTGAAGCAGCGAAAGTCGAATGTCCCCTCCCTCCCCGTCAGCAGACCGCTACCGCCAGGTTTTTTTCTCTTTGATAATTCCTAAATGCTGCGTACGGCTCAATCTATCTTGCAAAAATTTGTGTGACTTTTGGCTCAACAGCGATCACTTTTACTGCCTCTGGGGAGCATAATGTCATCCGCGGATCAAAGAGACGGCGACATTTATGGCACTAAAAGAAAGAATGAGCTCCGCAAGTGGGAGTTCAGAGAAAGATTTTGAAAAAGAACTCCAAGGATGCCTATCAAAATTCTATCCATGCATCCATCTCCCAACAACTATTGCAGGCACACCAAAATAGCTTTTGATACCGTTTGTCTACCTGACTTCCGAAGGATATCCCTCATTATAGAAATACAGCCTGTTATACGAAATAGATTCAGTTCAACCTGTAGGGAATCCCGTCCATCTCGACTCCAGTGGCATAATGATTTTCGGGCCGGCTGGTACTAAGGCGAAGAAGCACAAAAAAAAGCTCGGTCACAAAACTGGTGTTCTAACGAATACCGATAAAATGTAAATGAGATTTTTCGAAAGCTTGTTCTCGAACTAAGTAAGTTAAGTTTCAGAACTACCATTATGCACGTCAACGTTTTCGGAATGGCTCTATGCGTCTGTTGGTATACCGACAATCAATGGAAACACTCTTAAGGTATGTTCTGTTCAATACTCATTGTTCCACAAGGAACCTTAACGACTCGTTCGGAGCACTTTTGAGAGTCGAAGCGTTTTGTCGAGAAAGTGCGGGCCACAGCTGGTTACAGTGTTGCGTAAGAAAGTCGTATGGTAGGGATGTAAGAGCGCAGTGTTGCTTAGGTGACTCCGCCTGTGTTGTTTACCCGCCCTGTCTGTCGTCTTGCTAGTTTGTATGTTCTCTCGCTGCTCTTACCTATTCTCTCCCAACAAATCCAAATCAGTCGCCATCTCTCGCTTGGAGCAGAGGGGGCCACATTTTGGATTCTTTTGAGGGTCTCCACTGCTTTCTTGTCGCGGACAAATCGACCAGTGCCAACACTTCTGTCCGACGTCTTGTCAAAGAATCTGCTCTCAGACTAATATCGAAAAACTGCTAAAGAGCTCTCCCTTCACAATTCCTGAGAAGTCTTCGTTGGTCCCACTCTGAAAAACACCCTTCCCCGGTCGAATTGTTTCTAGTTTTTGAGCAAGCGTTGGTTTTTCTTTTGCCCGCTCCCTGTCCTTCTGGCAAATGCGTGCACGCCAAATACACCAGATGAATATAGAATTCTTGTTCTTTCTTCTCAGTTTTTCGTTTTTCTTTCTATTTTTAAATTTTCTCTGTCAATATTGAAAAACTTAAACTGTAGAGCTTTGCTATGCCACGATCACAGCTTAAAGAAACGTGCACTGGCTTACTGGCTAGAGGCGATCAGCTAACCAACTGGAAGCACCATATGGATCGGGTATCACAAAAGGCTAACCGTACTTTCATGGAACTAATTGAACCAGCCACGTATCCACTCCATCATACTCTATTGCTCATTCAGAACAGTATAACGGTTTATGCCCACCCACCCCTAACCTCTTCAGGAAGGAGAATACCATAAGTGGTATGGCTAAGGCATATACAGGGGGAATGAAGGAAGCAAAAAAAACCTTCTTCCTCGACAGCGATATATAAGTTACACTTTACTGAAGAGTCTGCATTAGACAATTACCGACCACATCATCTTTCAACAACACATTGCTGCCACTCTCACAAACCCCGCCGCAGCCTTGGGACCGAGACGCCAATCGAGAGGTCTGACTACGCGACAGATGATATCGGACTAGTACTTAATTCCGCATAGGTTGCGCTTGCTCTTCGCCTGCCACCTGCTAGGACCACCACTGTGAGCTTCTCCGAACCCAGTAACTCGCAAGGCGGATCTAGGGTTCAGGTTAACAACAACTGAAACATCACCAGCTCTCCAGCTTCTCGAACGCCCTTCCGATTCTGAAGTAGGCGCCGAGATTTACCAAACGCCCTTCGAGATCCGTTGTGCTGGCGTGCCCAAGGTCTAGCCGCATCCATGGGGTGACTCCATACCAGGAAGTTTGTGACTCCATACAAGAAGTTTCGCAGCTGTTTGGAGGTGACGTGAATTCCAAGGCCTTCTCCAGTCAGGCTGCGATTGGAGATGGCTTCATATTTTGGTGTACATGAAGGTGATGGGAGAGCCTGCTCCTGCTTATCGAGGAACATCTTGGGTATCTTCCGCCCTGGTACTCGTATCCACGTCCTCTGTCTGGGCTGCGAAAACTTTGCTGATATGTGACTCGGCCGAAGTGTCTTTTTTTGGCCCGCTGTATACATAATATAAGCTCCTTATCCCGGAGATCGTGGGAGGTGAGGATATGCCCTTTCAATCCAGAAGGGATCAACACAGCAGTCACACTTCATCCTTTCTGCTTTACGAATGCTCAAATTACATATGGGTCACATGACGGCTACTCCGAAACAAAATGAAATTTGTGTACTTTTACGATTAAGCAGTCTTCGTGGGAAGACTTCAATGCCTCACGAGGAGGAACTAATATTTGTAAGGGACAATGCCACCATTATTTACGAATTCATTTACTTCGTGGGTGACCCATTACTACGAACGACGCACCCACCTGCACGGTACTTTGACAGAAATCACTGAATAGTTTTTGAGCCATTGTAGGCGGAAGGGAGCGGGAGGGGAGATAGAACTCAGAAGAAAACAAACGAATAAGCATAATATCAGGGTTTTATGAACGTATGAGGCGCTTGACAGTATTCGCTGAAACGCTTTCTCTCGACTTTTCCCCGCCCAGTCCGTTCGTTCTAAAGTTTGGTATGTTTCACCTATGAATGCTGTAAATATACGTCAACCATGAATATACGTCATGGCTGAAGTGTAAATAAACATACTTCTGTGGATATATTTCAATCATGCGCGACCCGTTATTTTTCCCGCAGAGAAGAATTTCAATGTCTACAAGGCTGCAGTAATGCTAACATTTTCTTTCCTCGAGATTGTACTCAGCATCACAAGGGCTGGTCGGTTTTGTTAAATATAAATTAGCCAGGATACGCATATCCC